TAGCAAAATGACAGTTAGGAAGTAGCAACGAAACTAATTTTATGGTTGGGGGAACTGTATTAACGGTATTAACATGAGGAGCTGTATTAGAGGGTCGTGGCATTAGGAAGGTTGAGAACCACTGCCTTAGAAGGAAGGATCGTGAGACTTCATTTCAAATGTGACCAGAAGGAACTGGTCCCTGGAGAAGAACTGTCAGACTTGCCAATGTAGTGCGGCAGCAGGGAAAGCCCTCACTGAGATGGATTGGCACCATCGCTGCGACCACCGCTCAAACATAGAGAGACTGTGAGGAAGGCGCAGAACTGGAGCGCGGCTTGTGTACTGCGCATGCGGGGACTAAGCTAAGTCACAACCAAGAGGATGCATGTAATAACTGCAACAACAATGAGAAATAAAGTTAAGTTCTTACTAAGACAGGAAAACAGAAACATTTTTGAAAATGTGTTTATTTTCTTATCCCTGGCCTGGTGACTGTACATATGTGTGGACATAAAATAAGAAGACTGGTTTGCTCCTAAATGCAGGCCTGCTGGGCATGCTCGGAGTGTCCCAGTGCTCCCTCCCTAGGGCGGAAACGCCCCACATTGTGAGCTGTTCTGTTCCTCATTTTAAACAACGCAACAGAGAGTCGTTGGAAATTATTGTCATTCGTTGCGGTCAGTTCTGAAACACAGCAATCCCGTGTTCCATACAGTCGAACTGCTCCGTGTGACTTTTCTGTCTACAGTCATCAGGAAACCTGGCCAGATGGCCTGATGTGGCACCGCTGCATGGGTTCAAACTGTAAACCTTAGGTTAGAAATCGAGTGTAAACTCTACTGATGCTGTTTCTGCTATAAAAAATAAATATAATTTTACATGAACAATGCTAAATAACCATTTATTAACCACTCATTTTGCTATGACCTGCGGAAACTTTGGACCTTAGAAAATGGTGCTAGTAAAGAGGAAGATCTTCTGTATTTAGTAGATTAAGAGTTTGGCAGTGAGACTAAAACAATGAAAATGTAAAACTACTTCCACTTCTAAACCACCCATGAATGCCCACTCTGCAGCACCCGAGTACAGTTACACAGGTTCTCAAGAAAACCATTTTGTAGCCCCACCCAGCCCAACCCTCGGCGAGCACTGCAGCCATGGCCTGGAGAAAGGCATCCCTACCCCACACAGGGTCTGCGAAATCCCATCTCTAGGAAAATCCAGCTCCACCTTCATTTGTCTCCTTGACATTGGGATAGGGTCATAAAAGCCCAAACACTCTGATTTCTAATCCTGGTCTCTTGACATTGTTACTATGAACCGCTAGTCTGGTGGGTCAACCTAAAACAATTGAGAGATGTGTCTTTATTTGCTATGGAAGACACTGACTTTTAGTACCTAGAGATAACTCTAAATCTCTGAATCTCCCAGTTGCAGCAATCTCTGAGATAGTGTCTTAAGGACTGGAGTATCCTTGCTATTGTTATATTAGCAAGCGACTTAGAAGGAGACTGTGATTTCTTCTCTACTAGTTACCTGAATAATGCTGACTATGGAAAATACCTAAGATGGGACCTTATAGAAAATAAAGAGTGTAATACATGTTTATTGAATGAATAAATGAAGTAATCAACCAAGTGATGGGAAAATCTGTTGATTCGGTAAATATTTGAAAAGCTTTTTCACTATGGAGTAGAATGAAGTTTGTCTAGCACAAGCCAATAATCATAAGCCCGAGAGGTCAGAAGGTGTTATATAACCTTCGACTACAAGGTCGGCAGTTCCAAACTACCAGCTAGCTCCTTGGGAGAAAGTGGTACTTTCTACTCTGGTTGAGTTACAGACTCCACCACTCACAGGGGCGGTGAGTTCTACCCTGTCGTAGCGTGCCGCTATGAGTGAGCATCACCTGGCTGACAGTCAGTTTGGTTGATTCTGAACAGTTTCCGCTACAGGGTAGCCCTTGAGTGGTTGGTTGCTCAGTAAGCATCTCCTAAATGAATCCAATTAGATAACGTATGCAAGACGAAGTTTTACAATTTCAACGACCCTCACAATAAACACGCACCTTTGTCCAAGGATATAATTTTTAAAGGCAGAGTACAGAAAGCAAAACAAAAAGTTTCTCTTAAAAGTATCTATCCCTTGGGGGAAATATGCAACTTTACTTCAGGTCACTGAGATTTTTCTAGAAACAAAATGGTCTGCAGCACAACCCCTCATTGCCCTGAATTTGTCTGGAATCACATTTGGTTTGGACTCTTACTTAGAAACGTGAGCATGCGGTAAGACTAGTGGGTCTTCTTCTGAGGTGGGTGTATGTATGTGTGTGATGTGTGAGAGGAAGACCAAAGAGGAATTGCTCCAAGAGGCAAACACAGATTAGGCTCTGATAGCCTCTCTCTCTCTCTCTCTCTCCTAAGATTATCTTCTTTCCTCAAGGATACAGAGCTTGATTCTCTTTACAACGTTACTAATTAGGAAGCTGCTAATAAGAAAAA